AACCAACAGAATACATGAGTTAGAAGAAAGAATCCCAGATTCTGAAGATACCATAGAGAAAATAAACACACTGATCAAAGAAAACAGCAAGTCCAACAAACTCTCATCACAAAACATTCAGGAAATATGGGACACAATAAAAAGACCAAACCTAAGAATAATTGGAGTAGAAGAAGGAGAAGAAGTGCAGCTTAATGGTCCAGAAATTATATTTAATAAAATTATAGAAGAAAACTTTCCCAACCTAAAGAAAGATATACCTATGAAGGTTCAAGAAGCATACAGAACACCGAATAGGCTGGATCAAAAAAAACAAAAAACATCTCCTTGCCATATAATAATCAAAACACAAAGCATACAGAATAGGAAAGAATTTTAAGAGCTGCAAAGGAAAAAGGCCAAGTCACTTATAAAGGTAAACCTATCAGACTTACACCTGACTTCTCCATGGAAACCATGAAAGCCAGAAGGTCCTGGATAGATGTACTGCAGAAACTAAGAGACCATGGATGCAAGCCCAGACTACTATACCCAGCCAAGCTTTCGTTCACTATAAATGGAGAAAATAAAATTTTCCAGGATAAGAACAAATTTAAACAATACGCAGCCACAAATCCAGCCTTACAGAAAGTAATAGAAGGAAAATCACAACCCAAGGAGTCCAACAATGCCAACAATAACTCAGACATCTAGAGACCCTTCACCAGAACAACTCAAAGAAGGGAAACACACAAACTCTACTACTAAAAAAGTGACCGGAGTTAACAACCACTGGTCATTAATATCACTTAATGTCAATGGACTTAACTCACCTATAAAAAGGCACAGGCTAAGAGATTGGATAAGAAAACAGGATCCAACATTCTGCAGTTTACAAAAAACACACCTCAACCACAAAGACAGGCACCTACTCAGAGTAAAGGGCTGGGAAAAGGCTTATCAAGCAAATGGACCTAAGAAACAAGCAGGTGTGGCCATACTAATCTCTAACAAAGTTGACTTCAAACTTAAATCAATCAGAAGAGATGGAGAGGGGCATTTTATACTCATAACAGGAACAGTTCATCAGGATGAAGTCTCAATCCTGAACATCTATGCCCCTAATATAAAAGCACCCACGTACATAAAAGAAACATTGCTAAAACTCAAGGCAGCCATCAAACCGCACACACTAATAGTAGGAGACTTCAACACTCCTCTCTCACCAATGGACAGGTCAATCAGACAGAAACCTAACAGAGAAATAAGAGAATTAATGGAGGTAATGAAGCAAATGGACTTAACAGACATCTATAGAACATTCCACCCAAATAGGAAAGAATATACCTTCTTCTCTGCAGCTCATGGAACCTTCTCGAAAATCGACCACATAGTTGGTAACAAAGCAAACATCCACAGTTACAAAAAAATATTAGTAACCACCTGTGTCTTATCAGATCACCATGGATTAAAGTTAGAATTCAACAACAATGCTACCCTCAGAAAGCCTATAAATTCATGGAAACTGAACAGTCAACTACTGAACCATACCTGGATTAAGGAAGAAATAAAGAAAGAAATTAAAGTCTTCCTGGAATTCAAGGAAAATAAAGAAACAACATACTCAAACCTATGGGACACTATGACAGCAGTCCTAAGAGGAAAGTTCATAGCACTAAGTGCCCACTTAAAGAAAACAGAGAAAGCACACATTGGAGACTTAACAGCCCACCTGAAAGCTCTAGAAAAAAAGAAGAAGACTCACCTAGGAGGAGTAGAAGACTGGAAATAACCAAACTGAGGGCTGAAATCAACAAAATAGAAACACAGAAAACAATACAAAGAATCAATGAAACAAAAAGCTTGTTCCTGGAGAAAATCAACAAGATTTTTAACAGATTTTGATTTTCAAATTCAACAGTATGAATTCTTTCCAATAATTTCTCAGCACCCTTTGACAAGGATTGTATTTTGTCTCTCAAATTAATGTTAATTTAGAGCAATTAAATCTATTATGTACATAGAGTTTTTTGATGGTCAGAATATCCAGGCCAGAGCTCATGAGCAAGGAACACAAACCGAAAGCTGCGCAAGTCACCACATAGCAGGGAAACCAGCAGGGGTGGGGAAGCATGTGCAATCCCAGGAAATTGCCAAGCCACTAAGGTTTTATTTTCCCCTAAAACCTCTTAGTAGGTGAAATCAAGCCAGGCGGGTAGTTTTGGGAGACCTTCTGGGTCACAGACCTTTTGGGGCTATCCTGGTAGGTGTGGAGTTGGGATTCATGTGGGCAACAGATGGACACTATAATGTAACCCACACTAATTCAGAATTGAGTATAATAAAGGGTTCTTTATTCAGGGGCAGATGCACAGATTACAGCCCTCTGCACAAATGGGGAACAGGAACTGAATCCAGCAGCCGAGAGTGTGCAAACTTTATGGCTGCATTTATAGTATAAGAGACCATGCCCAAGTGGGCTAAAATCTTAAAGGCTGTTTGGCGGAAGAGGTTCCCACAGCATAGCATGTTGGGATTGGAAAGATGACTCAGCAGTTAGGAACTGCTCTTCTAAAAGACTCATGTTTAATTTCCAACACCCATAAGGTAGCTCACAAAGGTCTGTAACTCCAGTTCCAGGGCCTGGAACACCCTCTTCTGGTTTCTGTGGGTAGTAGGCTTGCATGTGGTGCACAGACATACATAAAAGGTAAACACTACCCATACACATAAAAGAATATCAAAGTGCAAAGCTGAACAGACTTAACAACTTACATATCTCAAATCAAGGAACTTGTGCTCTGGAAAGAAACATTTTCAGGTGCCAAGCAAAGAGGATGAGTCATAACTAAAACATGCTACAGGGAAGAAGATGAACAGAGGAAGCCACAAGGACATGGGAAGTTTTTTGATATTTCTTCCAAGTGTCTAAGTGTTAGAAATGAGGAGAAGGGATAGTAACACATGTCTAAGACTGGCCTTGAACTGCAAGGTCAGAATAGTAGATTTGGATGCAGGAGAATGAAGGGTGAGATAGGAAAGCATTGAAGGTTGTGAAATTCCTAAAGGAGCTACCCTGGACAAAGAGGGTAAGAGGCTACTGTAGACTGATAATAGAAATCCCTCCTTTATGCTTGGGCAGTCCCGCTAAGGAACAAATTTATAACCATCCTTTTTTGGCTGATTAATCATGAACAAATTATTTTTGTCTGTTTTTGCAAATTGAAGCTAGGTTCCCGTGCATGCTAGGAAAGAACTCTACTAAGCTAGCCCAAGGAGGCCTTAATTTTGTAATTCTTCTCAGCCTGCAGAGTAACTTGGATTACAAGCATCTATCATAAAGCATGGACAAAACAAAAACAAAAACTATTTTTGAAAGGAAGGCCTCTTAAAGATTTCTATTGTTATGGTAAAATGCCATGATCAAAAGTACGTTGGAAAAGGTTTATTTTTATTTTCAGTTGTTTATCATCCAGGGAAGTCAGAGCAGGAACTGAAGGAGAACCAGGGAGAGGTGCTGCTTATTAGTTTCCTCAGATTGCTTTCTTAGAGAACTCAGGACAACCTGCCCAAGGGTGGCATCATCCCGCATTGGGCTGGACCCTCCCACATCATCAAATAGAAAAATGTCCTATAGACTTGCCTACAGACCACCTGGTGGCAGCTCAACTTGAGATTCCTCTTCCCAGATAATTCTAGCTTGACTCAAGTTGACCAAAACAAAACACACACAAAATCCAAACCAAAAACAAAACACCAAACAACCAGGTCTGATAATATAAGTTAGAAAAGTTAAGAGTGTAGTTGAGTGTAAATAACAGTGTATATGTTTCTTCTAAGATAGTCGGAAATGCCTGTCCCATTATAGGATTGACAACAAGTGGCTACATGGAAAGCATCAAACTTGTGGTTGAAGACGAAAATTTAAGTCATGGAAGTGTGGGCTAGATGCATTCTCACCTGGAAGCCTTTGTTACCCAGAGTATCAGGCAAGCTAGACAACCAGGCTTGACAAGAATGAAATAAAGTGAAAGGCTGCTTCTGAGGTCCTAAGATGAGCCAGGTGGGGGATAACACTCTGCTCAGACAAAAATTTACACCAGACAAGGTACTTAATGCTCAGCAGACATCATATTCAGCAGAAAACCTATGTCCTTCTGCTGTAACCACCCAAAGAACCCCATGTTTCTAGCTTCATGTGCCGAGTAAGGTGAGAGAGAAAGGTGTGGTATTTAAGCCAGATTGCAAGAGATTGGTAGAATGGGTAGGTCTAAACAGATCAGAAAGGCTGCTCAGAAAGTAGTAGTATAAAGGACAATGTCATGAATTAAAAAGAGTTGTTGTAGGTATACTAATGCACTTGAGATGTTAATATCTCATTGAATACACTCAACATACATGTTGTTCAATTGGTTTTTAACCACCAGGAAACCATTCATGTTAGCACACATTAATTATCACCACTGATTTTTAGTTAGGCCAAAGAATTATGACAAATATGATTGAATGGCCATACTGTAGACCTACAAAGACAAAATACACAGCAGCCCGCACCTAGCTAAATCACAAGAATCTTGCCTACCATGCCAATTAGGGATGTGTTTGGCACCTGTATACATAAGGAACACTATGCTGTGGGTCCAGCCACTTGCCACTCCACCAAGGGCTGGGCTTACAGGTGCTTGCTACTGTGTTTGTTTTAGGATTTTTTTTTGGTGGATGATACTGCTGGTATTTGAACACAGCACTATGCTCATACCCTTTCCCTTGGACTACATGCCTATCACTGGTATTTTTTTTTTTTTTTTTGGTTTTTCGAGACAGGGTTTCTCTGTGGCTTTGGATCCTGTCCTGGAACTAGCTCTGTAGACCAGGCTGGGCTCGAACTCACAGAGATCCGCCTGCCTCTGCCTCCCGAGTGCTGGGATTAAAGGCGTGCGCCACCATCGCCCGGCTTATCACTGGTATTTTTATTTTTATACAAGCTATAATATAGGAAATAAAGACATTTTTCTTTCATCTGAAGAGAAATTATTTATTCGTTAAAGTCAAGCAAGAGGATCTGTTGACAAGTGGTAAGCATCAAGCACAATTGTGCATTTTTTTCCAGGGCAGAGTTCAGGGTAAAGCCACAAAAACCGACCACAAGCAAGATCAGTGTGTATACAGAGAGTTCCACAACTGTACCCACGCCTATGCATGCCAAGGACAAACCATTAGCACCAGATTGTTTCTTATGCAATAGTATCAATAGTCACAGACATATGTACATGAACTCTCTGGAAATCTTAGATCCCTGCTAATCAGACATGGAACAGGCAAGCAGGGAATGGACAAGAATGTCATAATTGCTATATATTTTAGTACAAGCATGCTAGAGCACTACATATTGTTTTCCATAACAGACAATCTTCGAACAACACGAAAAGCCAGGTTACAGACAAACAAAATTCCACTATTCACAGTTTACACACATATCAAATTTTCACAACACTGTATTTGGGGATAAAGAACCACAGGTAAATAGCCTGGTGTAAATTAAAAGCAAAACAGTCTGCAATTCCTTGAAAAGTGTGTGGACAGTCAGCATTACATTTTCTGACATGACCCACATTCACAGCAAGGACTGACCAAGTGGAAAGAGGACGCTGCAGTGACAAATCAGGGACTTCAAAAGGTAGAAGTAGCTTTGTTTAATAGGATTCAATACGTTTGCAAAGGTTTTCTTCCAGCCGACGAGCGATAGATTGTCAACAAGGCCATCTGTGCTCTGCAGTACAGAAGCTTGCCTACCTCGACTCAATTGTACAGTGTCAACCTCTGTTCCTCTGGCTCAGGAAGCATGGATTCTGGTCCTTTAAGACAACTGTGTATGGGAGTGTGAGCTCATGCATATACACATGGATCTAAGTGTGCATGTGTATTCTGGAAAGGGTGTGGTTATTGGCAAAAGGGAAATCTTTGCATCTGCTGCAATCTCGAGGGAAAACAAGAATTAAATAATCCCTTGATAGAACAAAGATTAGTGATGCCTAAACATCAAGTCACTAGAGGGACTTGCTCATCTTTCACCATGCATTTAGTTACATAAACATCTCTGGAACTACACCAAACCTACACACATTTAACGCAAGTTATACACGCCATTAGTGCCTGAACATTTTTCATGTGTTTATCTGCCATACATACATTCTCTTTGGTGAAGTGTCTAGTCAAGTCTTTTGCCCACTTTTTCCAAATGATTTGTTTTCTACTATTGGGTATTGGGAATTCTTTTTTTTTTTTTTTTTTGGTTTTTCGAGACAGGGTTTCTCTGTGGTTTTGGAGCCTGTCCTGGAACTAGCTCTTGTAGACCAGGCTGGTCTCGAACTCACAGAGATCCGCCTGCCTCTGCCTCCCGAGAGCTGGGATTAAAGGCGTGCACCACCACCGCCCGGCTTGGGAATTCTTTATATAAATCTTTTATCAGATGTATACCCCATGGAAGTGGGTATGCTAGTAAACTTGGAACTCAGGAAGTGGAGGCAGGAGGATCAGGAGTTCAAGGTCATCAGGACTACATAGGGGGACTGAGGCCAATCCAGGTTATGTGAGACTCTTCTAAAACAAATAATAATAAAAATAAAATAAGGAACAAATCAGACACATGGTTTACAAATACTTTTTCCTAATCCTTGTCCTGTTAACTGGAAACCAATAGAATGACAGTGTTGCTTTAATGAGTAACACTCCATTTATCCATCTTTCCATTTCAACTGTTAAGGACAAGGAATCTTGAAACTTGATTTCAAATGTAAGTACTAATCACTCCATAGGACCTCTGACAAATAAGAAGATGGAATCTTAAGTCTTAAGGTACATGGTATGTGGCTCATGGTAACAGACAGAAATGTAAAAAGAGACAAACCACCAGTTATCATTAAGGATTGCATACACAAAGTAGTGTTTTGGGGGAGAAAACTTCAAAATATTCCATTGGTCTCAGAAAATAAAGAACAAGCAATAACATTACAGGTAGACACACTTTTAACCAAATAATGTCACTTGGTTAGAAATTATTTAAGATGTGACAAGAAGGACACTTAGCTTCTGCTTGTTTGGGTATTTCAAAGCATGCATACAAAGCTATATGATAATTTTATTCTTGGAATGAATGTGTCCAATATGTAGGTTGTTCATTTCATAGTTGGTTTTTAATCACTAGAAAACTGTTCATGTTTCCCACATATCAATAAATTATCATCATCACTGATTTTTACTGGATCAGAGAACGTCACGATGATAAACCAATGAATGCTCACATTATTAAATGAAAAACAGAACACACAGCAGCCGAGGCCTGGCTAAATCACAAGGGTCTTTCCTCTCATGTACCATAGGGATGTATTTGGCATCTACACAAGGGAGGAACAATGGTGTCAATGCTGCAAAGGAGTGCTTGCATGTATTGTGGGCCCAGCCATTGGACATTCTAGGGGTCCCTGCTGACCAGTAAAGGCTGGCATTCTGTGAAGTCACATGTAATATGAAACTCTGCTCAACAAACCAATAGAAATGAAAAACATAAATCAATCATCACATACTAACAGGACATTATTGCTTTTTTACTAGTCTTGTGGCTCCAGAGTGTGTCTCTCCAGAGATGGGCAAATAGGCTTGGATTCACTCTTGTATTCCCAGGCATTAATTTCCAAGGCTCAGTGTCCAACTTCTGCAGGGACAGGTCTCTTACTTGCTTCTCTCAGGCTGTAGGCTGTCAAACAAGCACTTGAGCTGCTCTTCACCCAGGTGGATTTTATCTTCCAGCTCTCGTTGCTCAATGATGAGGGCTGACTTCATCTTCACGAAGTGTTCATAGTCAGCCAGGTTCTCCTCACTGAGGTAGTTGGCCAGGATATCAAACACAATGCGCTCACGACGGTCCAGGTTCTCTTTAAGCTCCTTGGCATCCTCATGCTGCTGGGTTAGGATCCTCTGTTTCTCCAACAGTGACTGCTGTTGAGGGGAGGGAGACAGAAAGTCCTGTTGAGGCAGGGCTAAAGCAAAGACTCTGGCCAATTCTTTAAAAGCCCTGCAGCTTTTGGAAACCGGTCTGATGGAATCCTTGAAGTCACATGGGATCCCCATAGAAATGACCAGAATGTAGTCTACATGTGCTTTTAACTATGGCCAGCTTCTCTACAACTCCTCCTTTCCTCACCCTTCCTGAAGTCACTCTTAGGCCCCTCTGGATTTCCTCTTTGTCTGTGCCTTCTCTTCCATTTGCCTTAAAATCAAGGACCAGCAGTTACAGAGTTCTGACATGCTTCAAAGAGACAAAGGACTTGGGAATCCTGTTTGTCCCAAAATTGAAAAAGGGAAATACTATAATTAAGTTGAGCCCAGTGGCACAGGCCTGTAATCTCATCTACTCAGAAGACTGGGGCAGAAAGCTCATAAGTGAAGGTATGTCTTAGCTGTGAAGTAAATTCCAATCCAGCCCAGACAAATTACTGACACCTGGCCTCAAAATAGAAAGATTATAGGATTGGGCTATAGCATGAAGAGGGAGAGGAGAGGAGGGGAGAGAAGAAGAGAGAAGCAAGGGGAGAGGAGGGGGGAAGAGGAGAGGGGGAGTTTATCTTTCTTACACTACAATTGATGTAGCAATTTAACGTCCCTTCCCCCAACAATTCCCCTTCTCTATTTTTCTTGGCCCTCTCCAACTCCAAGCTTGCAGAGTCAACACTATGAAGAGAGGGGAAGGGAGGGGAAGGGAGGAGAGGGAGAAGAGAGGAGAGGGAGAAAGACAGGGGAAACACACACACACAGAGAGAGAGAGAGAGAGAGAGAGAGAGAGAGAGAGAGAGAGAGAGAGAGAGAGAGAGAGAGAAGAAGAAGAAGAAGAAGAAGAAGAAGAAGAAGAAGAAGAAGAGAGGGAGAAAGACAGGGGAACACACACACACACAGAGAGACAGAGAGAGAGAGAGAGAGAGAGGAGAAGAGAGGGAGAAAGACGGGAACACACACACACAGAGACAGAAAGAGAAGAGAGGGAGAAAGACAGGGGAACAGAGAGAGAGAGAGAGAGAGACAGAGACAGAGACACAGAGAGATTGATTGATTGATTGATTCTAGGACAGGATGAAATTCTTCAACAGAAGGCGGTACAAAGACAAAAAAAAAAAAAAAAAAAAAAAAAAAAGGCCAGTAAAGCAAGACCCAGAGCAAAAGCTGCTGGGAAGTATGTGTGGAGCAGCCCTTCACTCCTTACAGTGTCTTGCTTCAAACAATGTCTGACACACAAAACTTACCATCATTGCTTTTAGTTTATAGAATATCCACGTCCAATAGAAACCCTACCAAGTCTAAGATGAAGGAAGTGAAGAAAGGAAGAGATGAACGCACTCATTGTCTTCACATGGCAGGAGCTCAGGAAAGAGGGGCTGTTATCTCTTACACAATGTGGCCTGAACCGGAAACTCTCTTTGGGATTCCCATGACCATAGAAACTTTAGAGTACATCTTGCCTTGTCAGGCCTGAGACAAAGAGATGAGATACCTTCCCTGAAAGAGGGGAGGTCAAGCCAACATCCTCCAAACGGAAAACAAGTGGACATGATTAACGTGTTCTACAAATATTGCTCAAGTTGTGAAAATCACACGGATTCCTGAAAGCTACTGAGACAGCAGTGGGAAAGAGCCAGACGTGTTTCATTAATAAAAAGATTGATTTTGAAGTTCCATAATATGCAAAGAGCAGAGAAAGATGTTGGGCTGAAACATAACCTATGGAAGTGAGAAATTTATCTTCTTCTGAGTACAAGAAAACCGAGGATACATGTGACGGCATAAGCCTGTAATGCCCCTCCTCCCTGCGAAAGTCCAGTACCTATTTAATTAACAAAGAGATTGATTTTGAAGTTCCATAATATGCAAAGAACAGAGAAAGATGTTTGGCTGAAACATAACCTATGGAAGTGAGGGATTTATCTTCTTCTGAGTACAAGAAAACTGAGGATACATGTGATGCTTTATGCCATGCACAGACCTTATGAGGCTTCTAAGAGCTGACTTTCCTAGCACCCCAAGGATGGTCACTCTAAAGCATCCTCACCACTTCCCATTTCCCACATAGACACGTTTGCCAGTACCCGATCTCCAGGAGAAGGACTGTCGTCCAGATTATTGAGGGCATTTTCCACACGGGCCAAGCGGCCTGACAGTGACAGCAGGAGGTTCACCACTTTGTCTAGGTCCCCAATAAACATCCGGAACTTGTCAAACTCATTGGGTTTGCAGACGTCTTTCACAATGGCTTCCACCTCTTCTCCCAGGGCATTGTTGGCTTGGATGTCTTCCAGCAGGCTCTCTCGGGCTTCCCGCAGTACCCGCAGCTTGCGGCCGATGCTGTCGATGAGCTCTTGCTGTAGGGCGCAGGGAAGCATTGGGACATTAGTTAGAATCATCCCAAGCTGGGGTTCTAGGTTAGTATAGCCAAGTCATACACAGTCTGGGAAGAATTCAGCTAGATTGGGGATGTTAGTCTTTGAGCCATCAAATAACGGGGGATTTATAAAACCAGGGAGAGGAAAAGGCCTTCTGGTTAAATATGAGCTTCCTTGTTTGTGTGAGCCAAAGAGGTAGCTCAGCAAATAAAGGTCTGATGACCTGAGTTCTAATCCTACAACCCACTTGGTGAAAGGAGAACCAGCTCCCACCAGTTGGACTCTGACCACCATGTATGTGCTGTTGCATGCACACATGTACATGTACTTGCACGCTTACACACAAATGTTAAAAGAAATTAAATTAAATGTATATATAAAATGTATTAGAGACAAAACAGGGCTGGTGTATATATAAGTCAGTGATAAAGTACTTGCATAGCATTCATGTGGTTTTTGGGTTCCAACCTCAGCACCACAAAAAATACACGAATGAATCCAAAAATGAAAGAGGAACCCAGGCCTGGTGCTTTATGTCTTTAATTTCAGCATCAGGGAGACAAAGGCTCAAGGATGATGAACTCCAGGCTGGCCCAGGTTATATAATGAGATACTATTTCCAAACATAAAAACAAAAGCTAAATAAAATAAATTCTCATTTGGTGAATGTCCTGGAATGCTAGAGCTACCTCAGTTTGACTCACAGTAGATGCTATTCTGATCTCTGTGTCTGCAAGGATTCACGAAATCTATTCGATACCTTGACTGCTGTCATTTTAAGCATATAAATTAAAGATTTACATACAGAGACAGTTTGAGTCTATATCCAGCACTATTGATCCCTGTCTTTGAGCAAAACAGCTATCACATGTTTTTATTAAAAATTATTTATTTAGTATGTGTGCATATATGCGCACATGTGCATTCACGCATGCAAGTACAAACGAGCCATGGCACACATGGAGAAGTCAGAGGAAAACTGAGGACTTGTACAAGCGAGCCATGGCACACATGGAGAAGTCAGAGGAAAACTGAGGACTTGGTTCTCTTCTGACACCTTGTGAGATCTGGGGAGTAAATTCAGATTTTTATGCTTGTATAAAAGTGCCTCTACCTATATAGCTTTCTCCCAGGCTTGTCATTACTCAAAAACAAAAAAGACCACCAATAAGATCAGCTTGTTAACTCTTCCTCAGAAGAGAGAATAGGGAAGGTCATTAGACCCTTTCCTGAGATTCCAGCCACTTTCTCTCGCACATTTCCTATGAGCATGTAAGACCTCCCCCAATGCATGTGTCTTTGAGAGGGGCAAAATGGTGTGTAGACTAGGACTCCACCTATGTAGCTTTAGGGAAATTGTTACTTAAGCCGGGGTGAGACTTTCCCAGTGATGTGATTGTTCTGGGGTCATTCATGCTCCTTGCAGGAAATCCAGTAAACTCATTGATTCACCAAGCTATATATGGATGAAACCCATCTTTTTGATGCCCATTATGAAAGGAGTTAGAAATGAGGCACCTGAGGACCACTGAAGTTATGTGTCTTAACCACTATGTCTCTTTGAAGCTGCAGGTAGGCTGTTCCTCTTTGTCAGAAACGAAGGAGCCAGGGCATCCTCCTACACATGTGAACTAACGAAGAGTCTGTATCCACAAACGATCTGAAATCAGCATTTGCAGTAGGGTCGACACCCTTCCTTTTGGAGCTTTTTTAAGAGGATCAGGTAAACACTATCCCTTTAAAAAGGAAATCTGGTGCACCATGATTTCAGAAACGAAAAGAGTTGCTTTATTCCATGAATATGCCACCTGCCTCATAAATAGTCATTAAAATCCTTTCAAATTTCACAATGAAGAACTATGGGCTACTCGGTGCTTTGGGAAGCCCACCCAATTCATCTTCACAATGTTTGCTTTGCCTAGTTTTGCTATGGAGCCTTTTGCTTCATCTGTCTGTCTCTTAACAGAATTCTTTCAATAAGACAATACTGAAGAGAACCCTAACCAAAATATTACCTTGATACCCTTGATCTATGGTAAATAGGTGGTTTGTTCTTATCTTCTCAGAAAAATTTAACAGATACTGAATACCATGATTCCAGAGGCAATTAGATCTTAGAGCTCTGACCCAATTAATGGTTTTATCCATCTATGGTTTCAGAATTTGAAAAAATAAATTATTGGGAGGTGGTAGAACTATATAGAAGGTAGAGGACTGAGACACTGGGCATGATCTAAGCACTGACACAAGTAATTTAAAGCAGTGGTTCTCAACATGTGGGATGTAATCCCTAGGCTGAGTAAGACTATTAGAAAACACGGATATTTACAAAACATGATTCTGTGCACAAAAATAAATAAATAAAATGTAACAAAACTCATCACGCTCTGTGATTCACCCTGACCCAAAGCAGTGGCCTCTTGACACGGTATTCCAGTACCTGGTGCTCTTCAGAACAAATAGATAGAGCACTATATAGACAAAGGTGGTAAAATTATTTTGTAAATTGTTTTTCGGGGGTGGCATTTCTGAGAAAGGAACTTGCTGTATAGCTCTGGCTGGTATCCAGCTGGTTATGGATCCCAGCTGGTTATGATAATCCCCTTCCTTCTTCCTCCTGAATCACGGATTATAGGTACATATCACCGCACCTGGATTTTAAAGGTATTTTGGCATACTTTGTAAGGTAGGGAGCTAGAGAATGAATCTAGGACCTAATACATGCTAGGTAAGCAAGCATTCTGGCAATAAGCTATGTCCTTGGCCAAAATATGCACTTCTAAATGCACTGTGCTAAGAAATAACAAAGCCTAACTAGAAAGAAGGAGGAAGAGACCCAGTCAGTCGTCCTCATCAACTTAGACCATGAAACCCAATATGGACAAGTTCAACAGAACCGCCATATATGGGCTACCTGTGCATACTTCAGCATTGCCAGGGCATAAAATAAAAATGTATGTACAGCATAGCCTAAATCAAAATGCTTCAAATTCTATGAATTCTGTTTCATGAAGAAAAACTGTAAATGCTGATGTTTTTAAAAATATGGACACATGACTAGAATAAAGTGTATATTGCTCTAATTCAAAGTCTCTAAGAGATCATCTTTGGTTCCCAGAACCCAGAAGGTTACCATTTTCTACACTGAAAGGATTTTTATTATATAAATAGGTCATAATACTCCCTTCCCTAACATTTCTTACATAATTAAGATCAATCTGTGCTATCTTTCAAATCACTGGGTCAGGAGCAATAGCTAACAGTATCCTTGCCATGACTGCCGTGGGTACTGCATACAATGGCCCTGAGTTAACTTCCAACCTTCTTTCTTGGTTCATGAAGCTGAAGCCCTGCCTTTTGCTGCTTCTCCCCAAGACCACCAAGCTCCCACCAAGGGTATCCGTACCTCCTCTACCTTTCCATCACACAGGACACAGTTCTAGGGTAAGAGCCTGCCTGACATTACTCTGTGTTTCTACAATCACAGGCATTTGTCTCTTTCTAGCTATTCACTCTATCCAACTGTCTAATACCTGATACAGTATAGCAAGGGTTGGCAAACTTTTCCCATGAGGGACTAGTGTGTATATATTTTACTCCTTGTAGGTTCCATGATTAGTGACAGTCAATATATAAGCAAATGAATGTGGCTATATTTCAATAAAACCTATTTCTAAAAACAGGTAGAGGGTCAGGTTCACCAAGCCTATGTTAGACATGTCTTTTTTTTTTTTTTTTTTTTTTTTGTGGTAGCCGTACATAATTCCATAAGAACACAAAGGCCCTTACAGAGGGCTCCTTTCTCCAGTCTGCCTACAGATGGATCTTCAAGGGCTTTGTAGAAAGGCTAGAACATACAATTCTGAGGAAAGGGTTGTTTGTTTTTATTTTAATTTTTTTGAGGAAGGATCTCACTGTGAAGATCAGGCTGAACTTACCGTGCAGCGCAGACTGATTCAAACTCGTCACCGGCCTGCCTCAATCTTCTTAGTGTTGGAATAACATGCATATATCTCTATGCTCAGCAGGTAGGGAATTTTGATTGCATAGAGGAAGGTCTCCTTATTCCTTCCAGAATGGTCCAGAACTCCCAGCTTTAAATGATTCTCTAGCCTCAGCCTCCTTGGTAGTTTTCAATTAAAGCTACTGAGTTGAGGTCAGATTTGTACTTCTTACCTTCTTAACTGACAGGTCGTGGTCCAAGTCACCCCCTGAATACTCCTCAGGCTCCTGTAGGTCCTTCATCTTGATAAGAAGTTCTGCCTTGGGGGCTGATGTGCTGTAATAGGTAGAATTGGTGGCCAAGGACACGACCCCTGGCACGCCTGTGTCCTGTTTCCTGGGTGAAGAGGCAAAAAAATTGCTTTTCCCATCCCAGCAGTGATTTGGATTAAATCCAAGTCCTTTCATGCGCTAGGTAAATACTTTACCTCTGAGATGCATCCTTGGCCCCTAGGTAACCGAAATTTAAACAGATAGAAAAACAAACATCTCTAAAGAAAGAAAATGTTATCAATATAACATCCTTAGATTAGAGGCAGGCTCTGGAATGGGACTTAAAAGTAGGTGAGAGGCAGGAAGACCAAAGAGACACAGATTAAATACACGTAAAGATGCTAGCTCTCAGGAATCTAAGGCGGGAGGATTTGAAGTTTAAAGCCAGTCTAGGCAACTTGTCTCAAAACAAGACAAAATAAATAAGGCTTATAGCTCAGTGATGACAGCTTGCCTAATATGTATGAAGACCTGCGTTTCTAGTTCAACATTATCAAGAAGTGGGTAGGAGGGAGACAGGGACATGAGGTGGCATATTCCTATAACCCTAGCATTGAGGAAGCTGAGGTAGAAGAATCAAGTTCAAGGAAGCCCGAAGTTCATAGAAAGACCCGACTTTTCAAACAAATAGATGGACAGGCATGCGATCTTTATATTGAATATGGAGATTAGATGACGGACACCACACAACTGAGGAAGCAGACTGATGGCCTCATGCCAACAAAGGGTTTCTCAGGGTCAGCACTGATGGTATCTGGGAGCTGTCTCATACACTGTAAGGTCTTTAGTCGTTTCTGCTATGCTTCCACTAGATGTCAGGAGTGTTCCATTCTCCAGTGGGCATCATCTCGCCTCTGCTAAGCCCCAAGCAATCAAATCCAGGTATGAACATTTAAACACTTACCAAAAAGCACTAAGTACTAGGGACCCCAAGGAAAACCATCACCTCCCCCGAGAAGCAATAATGAATATCAATATGCCCCAAATTCCTTCTTTTACTTCTAAGCCTAGGAGATAGGGACTGATAAACAAGCAGGTGTATGCCATCTACTTACTGGTCCTCTGTGACTCTGGGTGAGGGGACTTTGGGAAGCAGCTTCCTCCGCTGCTGAGCTTCCTCCAGGAGGGATTCATCTTTGGGGAAAATCCCTTCCATCAGATCCATGGTGGTCTTGATCTTCACGCTAGGGTCCAGGATGTCAGCCAAGGACTTGTCTTTTCCCACAATCTCCCTGGCTAATTCTTCAGACTTCAAGTCATCCACGGTCTTTTCCTTGGCCTTCCCGTAGTTAAGTGAGGGAGGGGAGGAACAGCTATCTCTGACAGGAGGCACTGGAGTGCTGGGTGGCTGGGGCTCTGGAGGGCGGGCTCTATGAGGGGCTTCTACCTCCTGTCGTGTGTACACACAGAAGCGGGAGTAACACTGCTCTGATGTCCTCAATGTCTTGATCTGGTCCCTCTCCAGCCCACTGGGCAGTGGGGGCAGCTCGGCTGGGCACGCAAGACTCTGGCGGCTCTCCTTTTCGGGCTGGCTTTCTGAGTGCACGATTTTTATGGGCACCATTTTCACTGTGGTGTTATTGTCCATCACCCGCTCGATTCTGTAAAGACAAGGGCTGTCTTCTTGACATGTACAGGTTTCCACCCGCTATTCACAGGTATCCTAACACAAAGACCCACTGTTAACTAGTCAAACAGAAAGACAAAGCAGAGGTTGGAAATGGTCCCCGTTTAACCCCTCATATGGCCTCTAAATGTCTAGCAGTTCAACTCAAACTCTGCCACACATCTATAGGCATCGGAGGGAGAGGTTCTGAATGACACAAAATCTGTTTAATATTCATTTTTGTTTTCTTATGAAATTGGGCATTGAACACAGGGATTTAAGACAAATGCTCAATCACATGAGCAAAATCAAGCACACTCCTTGATTTTGTGTTTTTATTATGAGGGCAATAAAAAAAATGCAGTGCTGGGTGGTGGTGGCGCACACCTTTAATCCCAGCACTTGGGAGGCAGAGGCAGGCAGATCTCTGTGAGTTCGAGACCAGCCTGGTCTACAGAACGAGTTCCAGGACAGGCTCCAAAGCTACAGAGAAGCCCTGTCTCGAAAAAAATAAAATAAAAAACAATAAAAAAAACATCAAAACCATTTGTTAAATCTCTCTGTTTCACTATGAAGCCTACAGTGGTTCAGTATAATTCTAATGAATTGAGATGCTTATAGGCACCGGAAACTGCCTGTATGAAAATGGTATACAGTTTCTCTATCACAAAGGTCACCTTATTGTTTTTCCTACTGCTATGATAAGAACATGTATGTGCACCCAAACTCCTAGGATTTATTTTAAGACAGGTCTCACTATGTAAGACCATGCCGGTCTCAAACTCATAGAGATTCACCTCTGCCTCCTCAATGCTGAAATTAAAGGCTTTTTCCATGACATCTGGCTTCCCAGGTTGAAATTTAATACCCGAGGTGTGGTCTTGGGAGACAGAGCCTTAGAGAAGTGGTGTGTTGGAAATGGACTCTTCTAAATGGTATTAGTGTCTTTACAAATGAATATTGGAGAGCTTCCTGCCTCCTTTACCATGTGAAGACACAGCAAGAAAGTGCTATCTATAAACATGTTTCTGAATTTGCCACACTTTGACCTTGCTCTTCCATTCTCCAGAAACATAAGCAAGCCACGTCTGTTGTTTCTAAGCAACTCGGGCTGTGGGATTCCATTGAAGAAGAAACTACCAGAAAAGGATAGCTTCTCTGTAGATTACTAACAATATTGCCAATTGAAAGATGCTTAATTTAAGACATAAAGCACAGCTGAGGCATACACAGAAAGTCCTCTGGGAAGACAGAACCCCAATTGGACAATGCCTCCATCAGAGTGGCCTATAGGCAAGTCTGTGCAGGTATTTTCTTGATTAATATTTTATGTGGGAGGGTCCAGCCCACTGAGGCTGGTGGTCCTGGGTTGTATAAAAAAGCAGGCTGAGCAAGCAATGAGCAGCAAGCCAGTAAGCAGTGTTCCTCCATGGTCTCTGCCTCAGTTCCTGCTCTGACTTTTCTAATGGTGACCTAGATATTGTGAGGTGAAAGAAATCCTTTCCTCCCCAAGTTGTCTTTGGTCATTGTTCTTATCACAGCAGTAGAACCCTCACTAGGACAGAGATGTAATAACAACATCAATGATGTCCTTTCTAAAATGGCTTTTTATTATTTGAGGATTTCATACATGCTTATTTTTCATCAAGTACCCCCACTATTCCTTCCCAATTTCATGTTGCTTTTTGTTTTTTAATAAAACGTCCAAGTCTACTTAGTGTTGTTAGTATGTGTTTGCCAAAAGCTTCTCAACAGGGGGTAGGACTTTGTGAAGCTCTCCTCCATCTATGCTGGGATTTGTCTGGCTTAATCTTGCACATGCAGTCACAGCCACTGTGAGCTGATATGTGCAGCTGCCCCGTCCTGTCTGGAAAACAGTTTCACTGTAGTCATTCATTACCTCTGCCTCTTACAAGCTTCCCGGCCACGCTTCCACAATGATCTCTGAACTCGGGGAGAAGGTGTGATATCATGTCCCATTTAGGGTATTGTGGTGATATTTTGTTTGTGACCTAACAATTAAAGCTTGCCTGAAGATCAAGAGTGCAGACCTAAACCACTAGTTAGCCATGGAGGAGGCCAGGCAGTGGTGGTACACACCTTTAATCTCAACACTTGGGAGACAGAGGCAGATGATCTCTGAGTACAAGGCTACCCTTGGCTACACAAAATTGATCCAGTCTCAAAGAGAAACAGAGCTGGGTGGTGGTGGTTCACACCTTTAATCCCAGTACTTGGTAGTCACATGCCTTAATCCCAGCACTAGGGAGGTAGGATATGCCTGGGTGGAGAAAAGAATAGAAGGCAGGAGGAGACAGGAGCTCAGTTGCATTCTGAAGTGTGGCAAAGAAACATTCATTGTAAGGATTTGTAGAGACAGGATCTCCCCTTCAGCCTGAACATTGGTAGGACAAGAACTCTCTAGTGTCTCGCCACTCTGCTTCTCTGACCCTTCAGCTTTCACACCCCCCCCCCCATAGCTGACTCCAAGTTTTTACTATAAAGACCAATTAGAATTTATGCTACAAGGGTATGAAAACTTGGAGGTTTCATATTCTCTGCAAGAGTTATGGATCTCTATGTTAATTGTCTTCTATTGCAAAAGAAGCTTCTCTGATGAATGCTAAAATGTACCAACCTATGAGTATAAAGACAAGTACTTAAATGGGAAGATTTAATGCAATACCCTCTTATCAGAATGAGAGTAGTTGGTTCTCTCCTAGAGTCTTTGACCTACCCAGCTATGGGTTCTCGGCACTGTTAACAGTAGCAGGCATAAGTTCCAATTTGTGGAGCAGGTCTTAGATCCAATCAGAAAATAGTTACTTCCACAACATTCATTATTATAATTCCCAGAGTTCACAGCTGGGTAAGACTGTTTATTAGTTCACTCCCCTACCATCAGTAACACTTTCTGGCACTATGAAAGCTAGCCAGTGGGAATGAAACTTTTAGGTCACTACCAGCTTGTTTGCATGTTTTATGATTCAAGCATGTAACTTCTTCAGCAATAGGATAAAGTTCTGGAAGGTGACCAAGAGCAACAGTAATAACCTATAATGGCTGGGGTCTATGAGACCTTAATGAACCATAACTTGAAAAGAGGTAACCTGTGGCACTGGGCTTTTTATCTGGGTCATTCAGAAGTTTAAAGGGGGGTAGGTTGAAGAACTAATCAGTTGATAAGAGTCTTTGGCTATCTTAGCACTTTAGAGGCGAGAGGCCAAAGGGTGAGGAGTTCAAAGACAGTTTAGGGTACATAGACAGTCTAGGCTACACAGTAAATTCTTGATCAAGTTACATATCAAGATCATGTCTCACAAAACAACAAGAAGAAAGGAGGGAGAGGGGAAAATTTAAAGAGTATGAAAATGCTGGACATTACTCAACTTTACCTAAATATCTTATACTTAGGTTAAAACTGATTTTGATCACTGGCAAAATATGCTTAGTCTCAATGTGCCAGGTAGTAAGGCAAACAGAAATGCATTCAATACAGACAGAGAGAGAGGATCATGATGTCACTAAACTACAACTGGTCATTTGAGCTACGGCTCATTCTCTACACGATTTTTCATGACCAGATTTTACCCCAGTGTTTGAAGCTGTAGCATACTGTCATAGAACAATACCTTGCTGAGTTGTCTTCATGGATAAGCAGGGGAGGCTTGTCTGTCAACTTCTGTGGGGCAAACTGGGGTGAAGGGGAGCGAGAGGTTTCCATGGCTGATGTCTGTCGGTGTTGACGCTTAGAAGAGAGCTGGACTTCTGGTTCGGAGAAAGCTCTCTCCTCATTCACATGCTGGCTGTCTTGTGGTTGGGCACTGCTGATCACAGAGGAGCTGTAGGAGAATCACACACATATCCAGGGACTCGGTAAATGGTGTTGGTAAGGACTTGTTGGGGAGAGCTAAGTAAGAGTCTGTAGGCGTAGTGGACTTGAGATGAGTCACTGAAGGCCTGTGAGACAAGGCTGCCTTCTTAGCATGCAGGGTTGCACACACTGTCTATAAAGTACGCTCCTGAACAGGTAGGGGTAAAAGGCAACCCTGGACTTGGGGTCCCAAGTCTGACAGTATGCATATTCTTGAGGTAGAGCCCTAGCTTGGTTCAGGCCCTCCTGCAGAGGTTCTGCATCTTCCTGGGAGTGGGACAATTCAGGAAATGTGGAATTGGCTTGTGGGTCCTATAATGGTCTCAGGGCATCTAGAGGAAGATGTCATAAAAATGAGACAAGAATTCTGATTGGGATCTTCTCTAGTCGACCACTTTAGGACTATATGTTTTCCAACACCTTTGCCAACTACCACAAGCGATGTATGTTAGGCTGTATGTGTAACATGTTCTGTATGGAACATGAAGTATTAATGACACGTACATATAGATCTGACACAGACACACATGTATATACCAACAACATTTCTTTAAAAGAAACACCCCTTCCCCCCAAAAGAAAGAAAACAAATCTCTGATTTAAGAAAAAGAGCAATTCTTAATCTAAAATTGACTTTCGAGCTGGGCAGGGCACAGTATTTGGTAGGCCAAAGGACTATAGGACTATTATGCCTGTGTCCTGCCTTGTGGATGATAACCTTGCTGTGTTCTATGGAGAGGGAGGAGAGGGGAGAGGGGGAGTTTATCTTTCTTACACTACAGTTGATGTAGCAATTTAACATCCCTTCCCCCAACAATTCCCCTTCTCTATTTTTCTTGGCCCTCTCCAACTCCAAGCTTACAGAGTCAAAACTATGAAATCACCAACTGATTTTAACAGCCCCAGTTCATACAAATCAGGTCACAGATAGACACAATAAAAAAGGACCTAGATGTAACAACGTTGAGTTCTGTTGGGACCATATTCAAATCTGTGACTTTAATGATGTCCAAGAGATGTAGAATGTAGATAGTGTGATATGTTTGTGTTATGTTGGAATATAGTCGTACATTTATAAATAGATGTATATGCTATGGATGCTGTCTGTGCAGATTTATGTCAATGTACATGTGCCAGTGGTGCATATATGCCTGTGTGCTATGTCTCTGTCATGTGCTGTGGATTGTATATGTAGATGTGTGGCGTGACTGTATATGCGGCTATGCCATGTACATATGTATCTTGATCTATACTATTTTTTCTGAAGCAGGGTCTCATAGAGTACTGAACTGTGGATACAAAACCCACAATTCTCATCTTAAAGGGAATAAGAGATAGTTTATTCAGGGGCCATATTTGAGTGACTGCAGCCTGGGAACATGGGTTTAGGTGACCCCAAATTCCACGTTCCAATATGGAAGAAGTTTCAAGAAGTTTTTACAGTTTTACCAAACAAAGAAAGTCATACAAGGCAAGTTTAAAATATATTTGGCGTGGATATCAGAGAGGCGGTTGCAGAAAGATGAGGAGATCTGTCCTATAGGCCTGAGATGTTATCTGATGACATTCTTAGTTGTGGGATGGTGGAGGCAAATAGGTCTACTAAGTTAACAGATTACAAAAGGCTTTAATCTGTTAGTCATACGATGCTCCAACACAGAGGTGGACAATGAATTCACAGGGCTAAAGCTAGTCCAAGTAAAACATTCCAACATCTTCATTATTACTACATTTTAATCAGCCAAGCAGCCTCTATAAACAGTTTTTCTTTCCAGGAATTTTTATTGCTACTATGTTAGCCTCACACTTACCATCCTTCCACTTCAGTCTCCTAGGTGCACAGACCAGGCACGTAGCACCTTATCTAGCTTTTGGGCGGGACATAACCAGGAACTGAACCCAGGGCTTTGTACAACATGCTAGTGTGTGCAATACCACAGCCCCCCATTTTATTTTAAGACAGGGTCTCAGTAAATGGCTCAACTTGTCCTTAAATTCATTCCACAGTCCAAGCAAGCCTTGTACCTATGTGATCTTTCTGCTTCAGTCTGTTGAGTAGCTAGGCTTGCCCCTTTTTCATTCATTTGAAATAAAACACAAGTGACCACAGACCTACAATCCTGGCACTCGGGAGGCAGAGATATCAGGAGTTCAGGATCATCCTTTGATTGCATAATGAGTTCAAGTATAGTTTGGGCAATATGAAGATCCTAAGTAAAGGAAGGGAGCAAGGGAGGTAGCAGGGAGGAATGGATGTCCACAGAGACAAAAATACCTAAGATAATAAGAAGACTTAAGGACTGTGTTTCCTTATGTCTGTATGCTACCCTGAGAATAATGCTGGAGCTGGAAGGGTGCCATACAAAGGAAGGTGGCAAAGGCAACAGCATTCCAGAGTCCTGGCAACTAATATTCAGGCTAGGTATGTGGGGGAGTTGACCCTGCTGCGGGACCATGGTCTGTACCCTGTCACTTGTATTTTAAATAAACGCTGATTGGCCAGTAGCCAGACAGGAAGTATAAGTGAGGTGACCAGGCAGGAAGTGGAGGTGGGGCAATGAGAATACTGGGAAGAGGGAAGTTTCAGTCGGTACTGATGACCCAGACGCAGAGGAAGCCAGACACAGAACAAGCAAGGTGTGACTTTCTTGCCAAAAAAGGTACCAAGTCACGTGGCTAACACAGACAAGAATTATGGGCTAATATAAGTTATAGAGTTAATAAGAAGCCTAAGATCAATCAGTTTATGTAATATAGAACACTGTGTATTTCTCTGTGACTGAACGGCTGCCTGACCAGGCAGGACTGAGTGGGACAGAAACCTTTGTTGGAGGGAGGAGAGAGCCACTTGTTGATTCCGGCTGCTTAGCCCTGAAATAATCACACAGAAACTGTATTTATTACATCACTGTTTGACCCATTAGCTCTAGCTTCTTATTGGCTAACTCTCATATTAATTTAACCCATTTCTATTCATCTGTATATCACCACGTGGCAGTGGCTTACTGGCAAAGTTTTGGTATGTCTGACTCTGGTAGCTCCATGGCTTCTCTCTGATTCCACCCTTTTTTCTCCCAGCATACAGCCTAGCTTTCCCAGCCTAGTTCCGTTCTTCCCTGTCATAGGCTCAAAGCAGTTTTTTATTCATTAGTAGTAATTACAGCATCCAGAGACATCACCTTTCCCTTTTCTGTTTAAATAAAAAAGGAAGGTTTTAACTTTAACATAGTAAAATTAAATATAGCAAGACAGGTATCAAGCAAGAATTACAGCTACAATATTTATATCTAGTTTATCTTTAATCATAACTAAGAAAAACTATAACTATAAATTCTTCAACTCCATCAAAGACTCCAGACCTAAGTAAACATAAACTACATTGTAAGCAACTTCCAAAACTCTAAAAATGACAGAGACATCTCACCGCCTGGACAGTTACCCAAAGTTCTTCTGTATCTTTGGGGCATCCATCTTCAGTACACAGGTCCGTAGTGTCCAACAGACTTTTCCATGAAGAAGGAAATTTCAGTCCCTTTCTTCTGTGTCCTGCAGAATGTCTTACCGACTCTTTCATGAAGCTGGAACCCCAAAGGATCATCTCACCTTTAGGCAAGTTAAGCAGTCATTTCTCTGTGGATTCTGCATATCCAGTTAAGTAGTCCAGGCAAGGATAGTTTCTTGCCCAAATGGCTAACCAACTCCATAAGGAGGCTCTTTGATGCCCATCATCCTCTTGAAGTAACTTGGTGCTGCCAGGAGCAGATATGTCTCATTGTCATGAAAAATCTTAAGTTCTTAAACATTTTGAATGCCATATTTTGAAGGTCTAGTGAAAGATTCGAAGAATATCTATCTAACTGAAATGTATCTCTGTACATCTAGAAAATCTAACTAACATGACTACAAGCTTAACTATTATAGATGACTATCTATTAACCTATATTTCTTAATTATACATTACATTTCTAAATGAACTGCACAAACATGATACCTTAATCAAGAGAAGAAATATACACGTAATAAAATCAACCTGAAATTTGTATCAATAAGCCAAGATCCACACCAATACAAATTATTCACATCTATATCACCCCTCACCAGGTGCAGTACTTGGGAGAATGGGTTCTGAGCCTTGCCTGGGCAGCACAGTAGAGTTGTTCCTATTGATGGTGGGATGGGATGGGGGATGGGGTGAGGTATATGTAGGTGATGGTGAGCTTGGGAGCTCTAGCCCTGCCCCTTGTCTGCCATATTGTGCTGTGGGCAGGGGCGAGATGTTCCCCTTTACTAACCATGATGGGTGAGAGCTATAACATTTGGGAGAGTAGTGGTCCCTGCACCTTACCTGGGCAAGACAGTAGAGCTGGCCTTGCTGGTGTAGGTGTGGGAGAGCTGACCCCGAGGGCATAAAAGCAGCTTATGTTGCAAGGGGTGAACTAGCTGGGGCAATGTCAGAGTTCACCTTGATGGTGAAGACAGGGGAGAGTTGGTGGGATGACCAAACTTGCAATTACCCAGGCTCAAAACTAGGGTTGAGTTGACCCACCCTAACATCCATCCCATCTGGGATCTGCTGAAGCACGCCAAGGGACCAATCTTGCAGACCTAAAGCTGCTGTATCTCTATGACACAGGACAAAAACAGGATATCCAAGAGGAGTTCAGGGTGAGGGCCCAGTATCAATAGTGTAGCAGAAACTAGAGGTTTCAAACCAGACCAAGTACTCTTTGCAAAAAACACTTGCAAGTAGATATATGGATAAATGATTAAATTATGACTGACTGACTACAGCTTCCATGATGAGATCTTTCTTTTTCTTCTTATTTTCTCTTAAATTTTATTTTACTTTATTTTGGGGGTTACAGGGCAGAGGGCATATATGAAAGTAAATAAAAAAAGTTTTAAAAAAAGTATTTCTAAAAGTAAAATGGATACTATCCTACAGATTTATCAAAGTAAACCAGGACT